GGTTGGGCTGCTGGGTGCGAGTGTGTCCCAGCCCCGTATTAGGGGTGGCAGTTGTTCCCTGTAGTCCTCATCCCAGCCTTTTGGAGTCTCACCTGACATGTGCACAGCAGCTTATGAAGCAGCAAAGACTTGGGGTCCCGCTCTGATTTCGAGAACCCTCTCTGTGGCTCCCTCCTCTCTAGTATTCTGCCCTTCAAACTCCAGCCTCCTTAGCCTCCCAGAACCCCGACCGTTGTCCCCTCAAACCAGTGAGGCCGCCACGCCTGCTCGGGCTCTCCCCTCCCGCACCCGCGTTCCGACGGGGCCACCAGGAGCAGCCCAGCAGTGTCTGGCAGGAGTGGGCAGGTGTTCGGTCACGGCAGTTACCCTAACACGTTGGCAGGACACAACGCAGTACGGAGCTGGTTTCGGGGAGAGGGTCATTCTGGCCCTCTCTCTTAAGTAGGCGCTTTCCAGGCGCCTTGGATGTTTTGAAGTTGTCGGCATTGCTGGCGAGCGCAGATGACCTTGAACGCCCAGAAACCTCACTGATTTCCTGCTCACGTGAGTACAAGCCGCTCTGCTGAGTGTCTGCCAGCACTAGGCACTTCTTTAGGGCGAAGGGGCCCGATGATAAGACAGGCCCTTCTCTCGCGTAGTTTACGTTTTAATAGTAAAATGTAGGAAACGTCATCAAAGAAGTATACTTTCAGATCACAAGGATCATGAAGCGAATGACAGAGGAAGATGTCGGAACGAGCAGCGTGTGTTGGGGAGGAATTTAGACGGGGGTCCTGTCGGCTGAGGTGGTCGGCGCAGACCCCTCTCGGGAGATGACGCTCAGCAGAGGCCTGAACCACAAGGACTGCAGGGGGAGGACAGTCGGGGCAGGAAACGGTGCGGGCAAAGGTCCAGCTCTGGAACCAGCACGAAGGCCAGGGAGGTGGGAATGTGCCCACAGTGCTTGGCGTTGGAGTCTGCCACCTGCCCACACAACACTTTATTTCCCTGTCACAGAAAAGTCTGGGTAGGCATTTCGGAGCCGCAGGCTCTCCTTGGTGCTAGCGGCCCGGGCCTCTTCCGTCTTGTTTTGCCACGATTCGCTTCTCTTCTTTGTGGTCTAGTGTGGCTGCACCGGCTCCGGCCCTCGTACCTACCGGCAGGAAAGATGGAATCCGTGCAGAGCAAATCCCTTCCTTTCAAAGGACACTTACTGCACGCTGTGCGTGCACTTCCGTGCATGTCCTCGGCCGGGACTTAGTCGTGTGGCCACACTCACCTGCCGGGGAGCTGGGGCGCATTGTCTTTCCTGCACACCCGCCCCACATTTTTTCCTGAGAAGTGGGGGAGAGTGGATATTAAACAAGCGCTAGCAACTCCGGCCAAGCCGGCGAGCGAGAGAGGCAGCCCGAGTCCCGCTTGCGTCCTGCCTTGAGACCACGCACGCTCTCGGTGCAGACCCGAGGGGGGCCGCGGGGGTGTGCGCAGGCGCAGTGTGACCTTCCGAAGAGCCCTCTCCTGCGGGCAGAGCAGGCCCTGTGGGGGAAGCGGAAGCCTCTCCATGATCCAGACGAGAGGTCGGGGTGGTGGGGGTGCAAAAGGCGAGCTGGGGTCCGGCCTGGGGGCTCTCCGGTAGGCTCGGACAGGATGTGGCAGTGTGGAGAGGGCAGTCGAGTGGCCTGGGCTGTTGCGCTGCCTCTCAGGGTGATGGGCAGAGTCCACTGGTGGTTTCTTGGCTGCAGGGGGCGCTGTCGGGCGGGCAGGTATGAGTCCGGACCTCAGTAGTGGCGCAGGGCGCATGGAGTGTGTCCTGCGGCGCGTGCTCCCTTTCTTCCTAATGCCTGAAGCCGACGCGCCCCAGCCACAGTTCTTCCCGAGGCCTTCGCACGATTGTCGGCCGGTCCCGCTGCTGCCGAGCTGCGTGGAGCCACGGGCCTCCCCCGCCCCGCTGCCCCGGCTGCGCCCTGACGGCTCCCTCCACGCTCCGCCGCCTGGCCTCGGCCAGCTGCTCCTTCTCTCCGCGCATGGGCAGGACAGGGCCATCTCTCACACCTTTGCCCTTTCATCTCGGGCCAGATGTCCCCACAGACTCTGTCCTGGCGAGGCCACGGGGAACGGCCACTTATGGTTGGTCGTGTGACACCAGCTGTCACCATAGAGGAGACACGGGGACAGGGAACAGAGCCCGCCATGGAACCTTTTGCGTACAACTTCCTGAAGCTGTTCCTGAGACAGGTGGTGTCCGGGCCACACGAAGCGCTGAGACAGGGCCTGGTCCTTGGGGTACCGGAAGCCATGCACGTGGGACGCCACCCCAGCCTTTGGGAGGCAATAATTTCCAGCCTAGGATTCTGACCCTGGACCGGCCCCAGTCAGTCGGGAGGGTATAAGAGAGTTTGATGTAAAATGTCATAGAGACCGGTCCCCCATGCTCCTAAAGAGCTTGCTTCACCAAGATCGGGGGGAAGACGGGGTCCGTGGAAGAGAAACCTCAACTGCCTCAGAAAGAGACCCCGTGAAACGTGGACTCGGTGCCCCGAGAGGTTTGACCACGTGGAAAATGCTCCCAAGGCAGAGGCATCGCATAACAGGTCTAACCTCGCCCTACCCCACCCCCCAAAATGAGAGGCAAACAAAATGGAGGCAGTTACCGAGGTCTGGGGGGTGGGTGGGGGAAGTGTAGCTGAGCCCACGGCTGGACTCGGCCGTCAGGCTGTCAGCACCCAGGGCCCGGTGGGCTGCAGGTCGGGCAGGTGTGGCCTGTGAGGGGCCTAGGTTTTTATTGTGACATCAAAGTTCAAACAATGAAGGGGAAGTAGCCGTAGATGTAATTTAGAAATATGAAGGTAAATATGAAACGTAAGAAACAAGTGGGAAGTAGGAGTGGGCGTGGCGGGAGACTGAGGTCTTCTCTTTATCCTTCATCTTTTTGGTGCATAAATCACTTTGACAAGGTCAAGTTTTGAAAAGAATTGCAGACGGGAAATGGAGATGAGCATGTGAGGCCGCCCTTTTGAGATTTGCTTTGAAGAGGTGCAGAGACACGGGGCAGTAGCTGGCGGGGGGACGCCAAGGGAGCAAGTGTAGGTTTGTTTAGGATGGGCGGGGACCCTGGCCTCAGAGCCCCGGCTCCACCTTCCTCCCGCGGCTGGGGTAGGGGCTCTGGGGACAGCCTCTGCCCTTGGCTTCCAAGGAGAGGATAGGGCATTGCCTGGGGGGCCTGGCCCCTGTGGCTTTGGGGACCCCAGGGTGAGATTGTGACTTAGTCCCTGAGATGCCATTGTTGAAAGGGGACCGACTTGTGGGGCCGCAGCCTGGAGCCCGTGCTGGGCCTGGCTCAGCCCTCCCAGCCTCATCATCAGATGAGATCATCCATGTAGAAACACTTATCAACCACAAGACCTCATGTCAGTAATGTGACATCTTATTGTGACCTGGCTGTGGCCTGGATCGGGGGAATGAGGGTGTCGGTGGGCTTTGTGGGGCTCTCCTAGAGCCCCATGTCGCACCCTCGCCATGTCGGTGCCGCTTCCATGGGCATCTAGTGAGTTCAGGGGTCTCGGCTGTCTTGTCGTCGTCACTCAAGTCACGCTTCTTCCTGCCTGGGGATGAGGGACCAGGCTGCGGACTGAGGTGGTGACGAGGGCTCCTACCTTTCTGTACCCGGTGGTCAACCCTTAAAGCCCTGCCTGGGGTGGGTCCCCGTGGAGGGAGGACATGGCCCGTCCCACACGCCTGTGCCCGGTGGGTCTTCCCTCTGGCTTGTCTGAGCATCACCTACTTCCTGTCCCATCTTTGCTGCAACTTGGGAAAATGAAGGAGCATTGCCCGTTGGGTGAAGAGCCCCAGATGATGGACTTATCACTTGACCCGCGTTTGGCTGACCGCACGCTCCCTCTCTCGTCTCAGGTGAACTCCCAGACAGCGCGACGCCCACGTTCTCCCGGTCACAGAGGCTGCAGTCCTGCCCCTCAGCAGGGAGGTAATGAGCCAGTCCCTTTCCTTTCTTTTTGCTATTATAAGAACAAATTAACACACCTGCTAACTTCCTAAAGCGCCTTCTCATCACATGGTGACCCCACAGGCCGGCCACGCATGTCTGGCCTTAGCCCCATTCTCTCGGGTGCCACTTTTACGTCCACTGTAGTTTGCCATGGCCACAGACTTTCTTCCTGCGGTGTCAAAGCCAGTTCTCAGCCCTGAGCTGGGGCGATTGTCCAGTCAGGACGCTCAGTGTAGCTGCCTTCAGAGCTGCCGCAAGTCCCTGCCCATCCCTGGACGTTCTGAGCGGTCGGCCTGGTGTGCAGCCCCATCCGTAGGTCCTCAGAGGTGACTCTGCTTTGTGGTGCACTGACTCAGACTTGGTTTGAGTCCCAGCTTCGCCCCTTCCTGATTGGACCAGAGCCGCGAGGGCAGAGGCGAGGCCTTGCCGAGTGAGGAGCCAGAAGCCCCGCCGGGGCCCGGGGGTCGGCGGCCCCTCAGAACGGGGCTCGGGCAGGCCCTGCTGGCTTCCGTCTTTTATGTTGGAACCAGAGGATGTTCCACTGTATCAAGACGTTGGCCAAATGATGAGAATGTGTTTGGGGGTCGTCTGTGCTTAAGACCCATTTTGTCTTCCAGGGCTGTCGTCCACAGCACCCCTGCCAGGCGCTCCTCAGGCCTGGCCTCACAAAGCCTGTTTGGCGCCGCGAGGGCGTCGGCCTTGCCCACACCGGCCGGCCGCCGGCTGTCTGGCCTTCCACTGGCGACCCCGAAAACCGTGCCCAGGGCCCTGGCGTCTCCCCTGTGCGTGCCGGCCCGGCGGCTGTCCTCTGATCCCCGGAAGAAGTCTGCGGTGAGGTAGGAGACAAAGGTGGTGGGCGTCTGTGTCCCGTTCATGAGGCCCCGCTCCCCCCGCCGGACGGGCTGCCAAGGCTGCTGTGCAGTCGCTCGTTGGGGATGGCAAGGGTCACCGCCCTTCCTAGCGGAGCTGGACGCCACGCTTCCTGCTGGTCCTCTGAGGGGAAGGGAGGGCACCTGCTTGCTCCTTGGGTCACGCGCCCCGTCCGGGCTTGCGCTGGCGGCCTGGCGGGGAGGGGGAGGGCCTGGTGACACACTGTCTGGGCGGACAGGCGGGCCCTGCACCGGGGGCCCTCAGGCAAAGCTCGCAGTCGGGGGCTCTGGGTCAGCGGTGTCCTTGTTGCCGGGTCCCAGGAGAGCCCGCAGCCCTGCCTTCCAGGGTCGTAGTCACGGGGACAGCGACGATGATGGCGCCCGGGCTGCCTGAGAATCAGACTCCGAATCTGTGGAAGCTGCTGCTGCACCGGCCTCTTCCGCGTCGTCCCTCAGTCCCTCTGCCACTTCGCTCCAGCCACACCACCCTTTCTCTGGACTGACTGGCCTGCCTCTCCGTCTGCCCCTGGTCCGGGCAGGGCTGCCCCGCCCCGTAATCCACGTTGGGGGGGCCAAACCCGGGCGTTTCTGGAGAACCCACATCCCTACCGGGCCACCCCCGGGTGCCTGCCGGGCTGTGCGGAGCACGCCTCACCTCTGGCACCTGGACGTGGAGGCTGTGTGTCTGCACGCTTGGCAGCCGCCTGGCACTCCATGAGCGGGCGTGTCACCATGTCCCCAGAGCTGCAACAGGACTTGCGTTTGTCATTGGTCACTGGCGTCCTTGACTGGAGTCCTGTCTGTGGTGGGGGTGTCTCTGGCCATGCCCGGGTTTCCAGCCTGCCTTCCCTCACTGCATCGTGGCAGCATTGCGAAAGGCTGACAGAGCCCACGAACATGGGGACCTTAAAATAACTCCTCTCAGTCACTTCTGGCTCCGGTTCTGCGCCGTGCTCAGAGGCTCCAGTTCCGAGGGGACAGGGCCCGCTGGCCTCGGGTCCCTGAGGCGAGCACAGGCGGGCAGGCTGTGCATGGTGGGGGCGAGGCCCGCATTGGGAGCCCCAACAGCTACAGGTCTGGGAAGGCTGCACACAGTCTGGGTCCTAGGTCGAGGGTGGGAAGGTTATGTGGGCCTCGTCTCCCAGCCCTGAGAGGCTACTAGCGACTTTGGTGGGGGCCATGTCCTATCCCCGCCCTCGGGCCAGCAGGGAGCGGGGCTTCTCTACCTGCACTGCCCAGTACAGAGGCCGCTATCTACATGTGGCCATTTAAATTCTAGGTAACTAAGATCAAGTGAAACTCACATTTCTGGTGCTCAACAGCCACACGTGGCCGGTGGCTGCCATACTGAAGGGTGCAGGTAGTGGGCGTTTCTGCCAGAGCCGCCGGGGACTGCTGCCCTCGGAGGAGGCTGCTCTCTGCTCCGGCCAGTGGCGCTGCTGCCGCCACCGCTGCCTCGCAGCTGACCTTCCCCGGCCGCCCCTCACTCCCCAACGGAGGGCGGAGAAGTCAGCAAAATAGACGAGACTGCAGTGAGAAAATAGATGTAGAGGACAGGCTGGAGGAATGCTAAGGTATTCCGAAAAATACGTTATCTAAATACCCCCAGGAAAAGGGGGAAAAGTGTATTAAGCCATAGTTAGAGCTTAGAAAGCTACGGTTCAGAGGATGTTACAGCTGAGTCATAAACAGCCTTTAAAACTGTAAGTTTTAAAGCTAACTCTTTTAGGGTACAGCTAAGTAAAGATGGAAGGTTACTCAGTTCATCTTAACAGCCAAACCTGACAGCTAACGATAGCACCTAAAAAAGGAAACTAGACTGATTTCACTTATGAAGATAAATTTAAAACAAAAACAAAAACAATATGTCTTCATCTATCTTGAAGAAAATTAAATTAGAGCCATCTTACATCAAGGAGAAATAAATCTGAGATGAGTTAGACTTAAATATACAAGACAAGAAAAACAGAAGGAAAAATAGGAGACTGTGAATAATCACGGGGCAGGAGACCTTAATCACTACTGAAAACCCAGAAGAGATGACGATAAACCCGTATTTAACAGTGTGAAAATTAAAAACAACTTGATTTATGGCTAAAATGACCATAAATGAAATCAATAGACAAGTGGCTGAATGTAAGTCAGCAGGCAAAGCATCTGAATAAGCTCAGATGGTAACACCCAGGTTCGCCACTATCAGGGAGATGACGATTACAGAGACTAGGAGACAGCTCTCTCTACAGATCATCCGTCCCTACCTGCTGGTGAGGATTTGGCGGTGCGGGGTACTCTGGACTGCTGCGGGCAGAAATGCAGATTCCGGTGGTCTGTTTTGGAAAGCCATTTATCAACATCTGTTAAAATCTAGTCACACGTACACACTCCTGACCCACTGATCCTACCACAGGAGCGAGACCACAGTTCAGATGCACAGGGACGCCCGAGGTGGTCGGGTTCCAGAGACAAAGACTGGAAAGAAAGCACCATTTAGGCAGCCAGTAAGGGGCATGAGTTAGCATTGTAGCAGCTGACTTGGGATTTTTATAAGGAATCCTTGAGAGAGAAAGGATGCAGACGAGGGTGTGGAAATACACACCCACCAACAGCAGGTGTTGTACACATCACACATATATATATCTGCATGTACATGTCTGTTTGGTCCTATGAGAACATAGAAGATGTCGGGGCTCCCAACGCTGGCCTTGCCTCCGCCATGCGCAGCCTGTCCACCTGTGCTCACCTCAGGGACCTGAGGCCGGGCGGGCCCTGACCCTCGGAACTGGAGCCTCTGAAGCAGGCTCAGAACCAGAACTGAAAGTGACTGAGAGGAGTTAGTTTAAGGTCCCCCACGTTCCCAGGCTGTCAGCCTTTCGCAAAGCTGCCACGACGCAGTTGGGGGCTCTGGGTCTGCGGTGCCCTTGCTGCCCAGTCCCGGTAACAGAAGCCGCAGGGCTCCTTCCATCCTGTGAATAAACTTACGAAGAGAATAGAATAGAATAGGCCCATGTTGACAGCAGACTGGTAGGATCTTTGAGCTGATAGGAACCTCAGAAGTCATTCAATCCTGATGGGGCTGGAACCAGAGTCGGGACACTCCGCACCGTGTGTCACCTCTCCAAAAATGAAATCACAGCCAAGCAAACAAGCAATTCACAGACTTTCCTCCTACGATGCTCCTTTTCATCCCCTACAGAACTGCACTGGTGACAGGGAGCAGCGGCTGGGCCACCGCTAGGCGCTCGGACTCGTCTGATAGCAGTTTCTCTCCTCCATCTGCTGTGCCACAGGCACTCAGCTTCTCTCCAGAAAAGAGTGATTTTACTTTTTCAAAAAGTATTGCCGAGGAAGTAGCACTGGATGAAGCAAAGCCACTTGAAGATATGACCCCCAGTGAGGTAAAAGAAACAGACGGAGTTTGCTGGTGTCATTGGGGTTTACGGAACCTGCCTGGAAGCTGGGTGGTAGCTTCAGGATGTGACCCACGAGTTGTGGCTGCAGGATTTCATCCTGTGACCCTGGGGTCTCCCTGCCAGCTGTGTGCCAAACAGGAAGTCAGGACCCTCAGCCTGGAGGAGAAAAAGCTGTACCTCTCCCCTGTAATTGACTAGAGAGGGTTCAAAGGGTGGGAAGGGGAAGCAGGGCAGTAGAGAGGGGTCGGCTGGCCGCTGGTGGGGGGCGGTGGGCCAGGTGTGACGGATGGCCAGAGAGAAGAGCTCAGTCAGTGCCCGCACAGCGCAGCCAGCTCCCCACACCAAGGGCCCATCCCAGCCCTCCTTCCCCGGTTTTCCAAACCGTTAGCCACCTGGGACAAGCTAAGCCTATGTCTTCCCAAGATGGTTGACAAAAAGATGCTAGAATAGCCTTTATATCTTGTGTTCTTGTCTAGGCTATTCTTGTGGATATCAAACTGGATCAGCTTACCATTACTCCGAAAGCTGAAGGTCCACCCCTCACTGATCCCCCTCTCATCGACTTCTGCAATACTCCAGAAGCCAGCGTGGCTCGGGTATCCGAAAGTAGGCCTCTGATCGACCTCCTGATAAACACTCCAGATGTGGACAGGAACGCTGTGTCTAAGCCGCCCCACGAGGTGGGACAGGTGAGGCGTGGCAGGGGGGTCTGTGCTGCTTTGGCCTTGGGCCGTCTCGGTTCTGGGTTTGCTCCTCTACTCACGTACTTGTGACCCCGGAGAGTGGCCAGCGAGGCTTCTCTGGGTGACCTGACTCAGGGTACACTTCATCTGTGGTGGCAACAGCTCCACGTTCACGTCCCGCCAAGGAATCCTGCTCGGAACCTCGGAGTTCTCCAAGGGCAGGAGTCGTTTCCACTGTGGCGTCCCCAGTGCGTGAAGCTATCTGAGGAACTCAAAGTGCTTCAGTGTGTGGCATTTTCTCCCAACTTCTTAGAGCGACCTAGGAGATATCAGTGTGCCTGAGCCAGGTTACTGGGTTGTCATGGCCCCGAGCCATGGCGGGAATACACCGGGCAGCCTGGTCTTCAGTGAACAAAGCCCTGCCGTGTTTACGGGCTGGGAAGGGTCGTCAGGGATGCTCTGTTCACCTCCTGT